CTTCTTCTCCTCTGCATTACTCTCTTGTTTCTCTGAAGTCGTGCTTTTGATGTGAAAGGAGAAGAGAAGCCTACTTGAAGACAGACTATATATTAAATTGAAAAAGACCAATGTGCTTCTGGTAAGATCATTTTCCCTAAATTTGTTGTCTTCTCCTTCTTCGTCTTGTCTCACTCCTAGAGTTTAATCGTTTTCATGGCGGTGAATTTCATGTGAGAGCTTCACTGGTTAATTTTTTGGTTCTGTAATATTATTACACTAGTGTTATTATTTAGATTTATTATTAATAATCTTAGTTTCTTTGGCAGTATGTGATTAACAAGAATTAATTAAAAATACGTTTAAATCTATCTCTCTACCCGTCAATCCCTTATTCTTATTAGTTTCTTTGTTCTAAATCGCTGCTCAAAAATTCCTTTTTTGATGAAAGTTTTCGTTTTTATTTCTCTCTTCTTTTAGTCTCTCTGTGTTTTCGATTTCCAGGTTTTTGAGTCTTGTTCATCCATTCCGATTTTATTTTTCTTTTGATTCTGTTTTTCTTCTCTATAATAACATTTTTTGGTTTTACCGTTTTTGTATATTGCAGGTGAAATTTTGAGGTTGATGATGGGGTTTTAAGTGATCTTTTGGGGGGTCTTGTCTTGAGGTAGAGAACACATTAGCAGTTTTTTTTTGTCTCTTTGTTTCGTGTCAGATCCAAAATCAAGAGGCTGTTAAAGCTTTGACTTCAAAGGGAAGAGTGATTTGACATAAGAGAAGGAAGAAGAAGATTCAATAAAGTTTCTTCAAGTGATTGGGATTTATTTGTGTGAGGATAAGATTCTATTTGGTCGCTTTTGCTTTTTTCACCGGAAACGAATTTATTTGTGGCATCTTTCTTTCTTTGGGATCTTGGGGTTGAATCCGTTGGAGGGGAGCAGTGGAAGAAAGGATCTTCTTGGTCTTTGGGGTTTGTGTACTGTCTTCTTTTTTTGAAGTTTCATGTGATTCGTTGGAGAAAGTGGAAAAAAAAAAAGCAGAGAGAAGAGGTATTGTCAAGTTCTGTGGGGCTTTTGTATTCATCTGCAAGGTCTTACTGGGATGACTAATCATGGAGAGAGTCTTTGGTTCTTGTCTTGATTTCCAACTTGGTGGGGGCTTAGCCAAATAATGCAAAGCTAGAAACTTTGTATCTTCCACAATCTAGTGAGCCCTTTTATCTCTCCAGCAAAGTACAATTTCTCTGAGGATTGTGTTATATAGAGAAAACAAAAGCGGGTCAAGAAAAATCTCTTGCATTCTCCTCTCTTCTCTTCTCTTCTTTCTGCTTTTGTTATCTTCAATGAGTCGACTTCAGAAGCGAGGGAAGCAGGAAAAGCCTCTTGTATCTGATGGAGCTGAAAAGGTTATTGTGGCTGTTAAAGCGTCTAGGGAGATTCCAAAGACAGCCTTGATTTGGGCTCTGACTCATGTCGTTCAGCCTGGGGATTGCATTACCCTCATTGTTGTTGTTCCTTCTCACAACTCTGGTACTTTTCTTGGCGCTGTTTTGTTAACATTTGTTCTGTTCTTGATTGATCTTTATCTCATTTGCTTTCTTATGAATGTGTAGGACGGAAACTCTGGGGTTTCACTAGGAGTTTCCCTATGTTTGCTGGGGATTGTGCAAGTGGTCATCGGAAATCACATTCTGAAGCACTACCTGAGATAAAGAGTGATCTCACTGACACTTGTTCCCAAATGATTCTCCAGCTTCACGATGTTTATGATCCGAATAAGGTTGGCTCTCTAAGCAGGCTTGTTTACCTGTGATGATCCCGCGAAACCATCACATCTTTCTTATGCTATTTTGTTGTTGTTTTTGATTTGCTTTGAAGATCAATGTGAAGATTAAGATTGTTTCTGGATCACCCTGCGGAGCAGTTGCTGCTGAGTCGAAGAAAGCGCAAGCAAACTGGGTAGTACTGGACAAGTATTAATCTACTCTCATCCTTTTTACATTTGTATTAAGAAATTTTATATGGGTAATATCTCCTAATGATGGTTTAAACAATTATATCTACTTTCACTAAGATACACCATGGTGCATTGTGGTCTGTTTTACAGACACCTCAAGCAGGAAGAGAAACGGTGTATGGAGGAATTGCAGTGTAACATTGTAGTAATGAAACGTTCTCAGGCAAAAGTTCTACGCTTAAACTTGGTTGGATCGCCTAGGAAGGATGCTGACAAAGAGTCTCCTTCACCAACTGGACCAGAAGCAGCATCTGAAAAACATCCAAAGAACACGAAAGAATCCCTAGATTCTGATAGAGGCCTACCTGTTACTCCTACTAGCAGCCCTGAGCTGGGGACACCATTCACAAGTACAGAAGCCGGGACTTCATCAGTGTCGAGCTCTGACCCGGGAACTTCACCTTTTTTCACATTGGGAATGAACGGATACATGAAGAAGGATGGAGCATTGGTCATCAAGGAGAATGATCTTGATGATTCTGGCTCTGAAACAGAAAGCGAGAATCAGTCATTAGCGTCGACGAGTATGAGATTTCAGCCATGGATATCAGAATATATTAGCACTCATCGCCAGTCATCTCATGAGGCCGAAGAAAGCCTTTGGAAAAATGATGATAGGGCACAAATATCCACTACAAAGGCTTTGCTGGAAAAGTTCTCTAAACTTGATGTAGAAGCTGGGTTGTCGGCTAGTCGAAGGATTGATATGGAGTTTAGTGGAAACCTAAGAGATGCAATATCACTCTCTCGAAGTGCTCCGCCTGGTCCGCCTCCTCTCTGTTCTATCTGCCAGCACAAGGCGCCAGTATTTGGGAAACCTCCAAGACTGTTTTCATACGCTGAGTTAGAGCTTGCAACAGGTGGGTTTTCACAGGCTAACTTTTTGGCTGAGGGTGGTTATGGATCTGTTCATCGGGGTGTTCTACCAGAAGGCCAGGTAGTTGCAGTTAAGCAACACAAACTGGCCAGTTCTCAAGGAGATGTAGAGTTTTGCTCCGAAGTGGAAGTTCTCAGCTGTGCTCAGCACAGAAATGTTGTTATGCTAATTGGTTTCTGCATTGAAGACAGCAGACGGCTCTTGGTCTACGAATACATATGCAACGGTTCACTTGATTCCCATCTATACGGTAATGTTCCCTAGAATTTCCATTTAAACTCTTTGTGGTAAAGAATGTTTGCTCAGAATCAAGCTCTTGTCCAGGTCGCCAAAAGGAAACTCTGGAGTGGCCAGCACGGCAAAAGATTGCCGTTGGAGCTGCAAGAGGTCTTCGGTATCTTCACGAAGAGTGCAGAGTTGGCTGTATTGTCCACCGAGACATGCGTCCTAACAACATCCTCATCACTCATGATAATGAGCCACTGGTATATATAAAGATTGCCTTGCTCAGTCATTGTATCTATGTTTTTTTGTCCTAAGTTTCTTTGATAATACTATCAGGTTGGAGATTTTGGTCTTGCGAGATGGCAGCCTGATGGGGAACTGGGTGTAGATACACGAGTGATAGGAACGTTCGGGTGAGGCATCAGCTAAAGCTATCATTGTCTTTCCTGAAACTTAACAAATTTCTATTGCTAAAGGAAAATACTTATGTTGGTGTGTAGGTACTTAGCTCCAGAATATGCTCAAAGTGGGCAAATCACAGAAAAAGCTGATGTCTACTCGTTTGGGGTTGTTCTAGCTGAGCTAGTCACTGGGCGCAAAGCCATTGATATCACCAGGCCGAAAGGCCAGCAATGCCTCACTGAATGGGTAATAAACCACAAATCTTAATGTTTCAGCAAAGTACCAGAACTTTATTGTTTCAGCAAAGTAATAGAACTGATCCGTGCTTGTTGTTATCTCAGGCACGTCCGCTACTAGAAGAATATGCGGTAGATGAACTTATTGATCCGAGGCTCGGCAACCATTTTGTAGAAAGTGAGGTCATTTGTATGCTTCATGCAGCTTCGTTGTGCATACGCAGAGATCCACATTTGAGGCCACGCATGTCTCAGGTAATCACAAGAATCCCTTAAAATCATTCTTCAGTCTCTGTCGGATCATTCACTTTTATTTTCTGATGATACTAAAACGTTTGGTCAATAATGAAGGTGTTGCGTATACTGGAAGGAGATATGATAATGGATGGAAACTTTGCATCAACACCAGGTTCAGATGCAGGCAACAGAAGTGGGCGGTTCTGGGCGGATCATTACAGCGGTCACCTAACAAATGATGGGTCGGATAGGTTCAGTGAAAGGCATTCTATTGAAACGCCGAGACTAGCTCTGAGGGAGAGGGAAAGAAGTCAGAGATTTGAATTAAACCACAACAAGCAATACTAAAGATCAAGACAGTTGAGTTACTGCGTCTTATGAAAAGTTTAGTTGATAGGGTATTTAGCAAGTCCCCTGTTTTGAGTAATGTTGGTCCAAAGCTAGCAACACAGCTCTTTTTTTTGTTTGTATAGTGGGGTAAGATGCAAAAACAGTTTGCTAAATATGTAATCAAGGAATTTGAAATTGTTAAAAGAACAAAACAACAAGATGCTGTTTCTTCTTTCGAATTTGAATTATTGGTGTTGGAGAGTGAACAGAATTGTCCTGCAGAGGAGAGAGAGGAACAGGAGAAAACAAAACAATGAGAAGGCTATCCTCCACGATATTGACATTGGAATTTGGAAGTCTTCCAAAATGTAATAATGATGCATTAGAGGGAGAGAGAAAGAGAAAGAAGTTAGGTCTGGTCTGAATCTGACTTTGCCTGTTAATACAGTGATACATAGGGTCCAGAGTATCTTTTCTACATATCCGGATCATCAATTAACATTTTTCTCATATTGAATAAAGTAAACACACACAAGAAACTTCCAAAAATGGTGTAGATTTTGGTGGGGCAGTGATAAAATGACGTTCAGAGGTTCCATGGATGTTACTCTCTGGATCATGACAAATAGCTGATTGTCTCTCTCTCCATCCCCACCCCATTTAAACTCTTTTGCGTGCTTATACATATTTTAGAGATCTTAATAGTAAAGAGGAGTCTTCATTAAATTATATCTACACATATATTTCTTATTAATTTTCAGAATAGAAGAGGAACCATCTTAATGATAACAAATAGCCAGGGGAGATTTCAAATCTCTGTATCTTGATTTCAGAAGAGAATACTATTGGAATTTGGTATATTACCGACCACATTCTCCATTTGAGAAGTGAAGCTTGTGGTTGTGAAAATCTTTACTGTTTCCTCATCTTCGATCTTGCATATCTAGAAGAAACAAGAACCATTGGGTTAGCTCTTTAAACCATGAGTGTAATAATCAGGCAAACTGAGAAATTTAAACTAATTGCAACAATATAAGAAAAACTAGTCTTACTCTATATGCATGCCGCCTCGGTCTGAAGAAGATAAGAGGTTTCCTTGAAGTGCATTCATGACATCAGTAGCTTGCTCGAGATCCTGTTATTGCTGAGAGTAAATATAGAGACTGCAAAGACAAGATCATAGGCATACGTAACAACTTATACCTCAAAATCAGCAAAAGCAACCGGCATTCCACCTCTTGCTCTAGTTTTCAGGATATTGAAACCAGGATATCTGGAAGCAAACGAATTCAGATCAAACGATTTTTTTAAAAGGTAAATGTAATGAGTTTTGAAGATATACGCAAATCTTGATGCTATAAGTTTAAGCCATTGCACAAGTTTTTACCTAGATAGGAGTTGTTTAAGTTCATCTTCTGTACAATTAGGCCCTAGATTAGCTATAAACAAGGTCGAACATGGTCGAGCACCAGAACCTCCATCACATGCTTTTTCCAAGTGTACCTGTAGAAATGTGTCAATAAAATACTGAACCATAAACAAGTTTATATGTAAGTAACATATAGTAAGAATTAACATTGTCTTAATCTTCAACAAACTAGAGAAAGAGAGATAGCAACAAGTTGAAAGATTAGATTTAGCTTTTACTTACATTCGTGGATGGTGCCTTACTATCTTGATCAGAGTCCGCTTCACTGTAAATTAACAAGGAAATCAGTATGCATTAGTCATCTGCTTTTTAATATAGAAAGACTACAAAACAAAGCTTCTAAATATCATTTCTCGACCTTTTGGCATTATCGTTTTCCTTTGGAGAATCGCTATTACCAGACTCCTGCGCCTCATCAGGATCGCTATCTACTAAATGTATAAAAGATCATTTAGAAACATAAATCATAGATTAAAGAAGTTCAGAATTCACAAGGTAACCAGAACATTACCTTCATCACTCTGGTCATCCTGCGACTTAGACGGCTTCTTGTTTCTGTTATCAATCACAACATAAGGACCACTTCCTATCCATACAGACAGTTCATTACTCATCATTGTCTCTACCACACTAACTCAATAGCAAGAACAGAGTAAAGTCTTAAAATACCTGGTCTTTCTTTTCTTCTAGAGTTTGATCTAGCTAGTTCTATATGTAGAGTTGATCCTGTTTGAGGATCAAATTTCACACCCTATAAAAATTTTCACCACAATCACACACAGTACAATGTACACACGACACACAAGACATTTCAACAAGATGATGCAACAACATCACCAAAAGAGTTAACAAACTCGATGAAAGCGAAGTATACATTTAGCTCACTCATTGCAGCCACAGCGAACCCATGACTCGTGAATGTTACAAATGCCACAACCTGACATAATTAGTCAAATAAAAATGTTAACATCGATAGATAGAATCATAAAGTTCCCAGCTTTCTCAAAGAATGGTCATCAAAAACACACATTGGAGGAGAAATTACAGAACCTGATCGCCGCGTCCAGTGTACTTGAGCTGACAAGACTCGAATCCGTGACGGCGGCGGAAGAGATTGTGGATCTCCCGAGCCTTAACGTCGTTAGGCAAGCCAGAGACAAAGAGAGTGTTAATTGCCCCGGGTTCGTCGGAGAACTGCGGCGGAAGAGGATGTGGATGAGAATGAGGTTGATAGACGTAGTAAGGATCGTACGGTTGGTGATATGCCATTACTCTCTGGCCGGCGGCGAGGTTGGCGATTGTAATAATCGCCGGCGAAGGAAGCTGACGTGTAACTAGATGTTATGACACGGTTTACATATTCAATGTCATCCTTTTGAAACGGGCTCTTATTATCGGACCTAAACAAAAAGCCCATTAATATTTAAACGATCACATATAGTACTGCTATAGTTTTGCCTCCAAATTGTTTAAGCTGCAAAAATTCGAAATTGAGAATTGTTTAAAATCAAAGTATAGAATTGTTCAATTCAAAGAGAGAGAGAGAGAGAGGGAGAGTCTCGATTCAAACCACACTCACACCAGTAAAAAATTATATAAGATGATCCGAAACAATATAATATACATAAAGTTGGAGATTAATCAATTTAATTAAGACGAAGGGTGTGACGTGACATCAACCCTCAAGTGTTAAGTCGTCGCGGCCTCTTCATCCAAGAAAAGATCCTCCGTCTTCCTAACCAACGCATGGATCAGAACCAACACAGCTCCGGTAAGCAACGCCGCAACTATACTAAACGTCGCGTTAGCGAGCAAGAGGAGACTAGCGACGGTTATCACCGATAGACCAATCAAGACCGCCTGATCGTTTATCTGAAGTCGGAATATTTTGAGAGGCTCTTCACGGAGGAAATAAAGAAAGATCCAGAGGAAAACCAAGCCGGCGAAGATGATGAGCGAGATCGGATGCCATATCAGGCTGAAGAACATGACGTTCAAGACGACGATTGCGTAGTTACTACGGAAGTAAGCAAGATTCGTCTTGATTCTCGAGAAAGCATCGGAGACTCCGTGAGGTAGCCCCATGGAGTGGAAATCGAACATCACTTTCCAAGGACGTCGCGTGGCGAGTCCGTCTTTGATACGTCGCTTGGCACGAGAGATGGACTCGAGATCCACCATCGGAGATGCATGAGAAGACGTCGGAACTGCGCCGTTGTTCGTCATTATTGAATAAGAGATGACTAAATGTAATTCCTCCCAACTATGGAATATAAAAGACCATTTAGATCGTATTTTGAAAACATTATATCGAGATTGTTTCCGACAGCAATATATATGTGATAATATTAGAATAATGTAGCGTGAGGAATTGATCTAATCTGGTCAATGTCTGAAATACGACTTCTCGGAATAGTTGGAAGAATTACAAAACTTGATCGCCAATTCTTCTAGTGTTTGAGTTGACAAAAGAATATATATTGATAGTCATAATAAACGTAGTAAGGATCGTATTGTGTTGGTGATACGCCATTTCTCTTCGGTGCCTTATTCTTGCACTTATCGACGTCGAGTTTGACGGTCATAAATAAGCGCCGGCGAAGGGTGCTGACGTGGTAAACAGCTAGCTATAACGTCTAGGCTAAGATCATTGGGCCTTTTATTAATGTCCAATTAGATAGAGATATATTTGCTTCAAATTGGTACTTAAATAAAAAAATTTCAAGTTTTGTTTGAGTACCAATAACTTAAAACCGTATAGGCTAAGGTCATTGGGCCTTATTAAGTTACGTAGATAGAGATTGTTTGTCATAGCAATGGACGGGCCTAATCAAATGTTACCGACATGAGATTGACTATACAAAAAAAAAAATCTTTTCTTTTTTGGTTTTTTGACTTTTTGTTTGTTGACGGCTTTCAAAAAGGGAATACAGTAAAACCTCTATAAATTAATACTCGATAAATTAATAATCTCTATAAATTAATAAATTTTTCCGGTCCCAACTTGGGACCAGTGTAATTATAGACACATTTCGATAAAATAATAAGATAATAAATTTTATGAAAATCCTTTGTAAATATATGGTCCCATCAATATTATAAATTAATAATTAGGTAAAATTTTCAAAATATATGTATATATAGACACATTAATTTTTGTTAGATTTTATTTCTAATATTTGACTATATAAAAATAGTTAGCATTCTCTTTTAATACATAATAATTATTGTTTTATTTGTAATTGATTATATAAAATACTAATTATCATGATTAAATCTTATTTTTAAATATTGTTTTGAAAATATTTTCTAAATTAGAAATATCTCTCTATAAATTAATAATTATTAATTTATCGATAAATTAATACCTCTATAAATTAATAGATTTTCATGGTCCCAATATTATTAATTTATAGAGGTTTTACTGTATTCAGTGCGATTGTTTTAAGTTTATTACACTTTACAGTTACTTATTCAGTTATTTTGATTGTTGCTACTTACTAGTATTTTTTTTTTTTTTTTTTTTACAGCAAAATCATGTAAAAAAAAAGTAGAGGTTCGTAATTTCAGATAAGATAACCCGACAAAAAGGTGATACAAGTACTATAAGCAAGCAGCCTTTCGATAAAAATAAAGCAACTTTTATTTGACATTATTGAGCTTAATTCTAGAAATTGAAATTTCTGTTCTTTTCTCGGCTAATTGACCTATAATGATTCCAATTTTAGTTCAAAGTCTTTCAGATTTACTCATTACAAGAAATTATTCATGAGCTTTAACGGGTAAGAAAAGGAAAAAATATTGTAACAAATTTTTAATCGTTCAAACTTCAAATAAAACTTAAAAAAGAAAAAGAGAAAGTGAGAGTTTCAAACCAAACACACACCAATAAAAATTGATTACGCATGAAATGATATATATATTTTAAGAAGAAAACAAGATAATATACATAAAAGTCTCGAGATCAATCGATTTAAGACGACGGGTATGACGTCAGACCTGAAGTCTCAGCCGTCGCCGCCTCTTCATCCAAGAACAGATTCTCCGTCTTCCTAACCATCGCATGTATGAGAACCAGCACAGCTCCGGTCACCAGCGCACCAATAATATTAAACGTGGCGTTGGTCAACAGAAGCAGCACGATCGTTATCACCGCTAAAACAATCAGCACCGTCCGATCATCGATCTGGTACCGGAACACTTTGAGAGGCTCGTCACGGAGGAAATAAAGAAAGATCCAAACAAAGACCAAGACGGTGAAGACGATGAGCGAGGTCGGGTGCCAGATCAAGCTGAAGAAGATAACGATCAAGACTACGATTGCGTAGTTCATACGGAAGTAAGCAAGATTCGTCTTGACTCTTGAGAGAGCATCGGAGACGCCGTGAGGTAGTCCCATGGAGTGGAAATCGAACATATCTCTCCAAGGACGGCGCGTGGCAAGTCCAGCTACGATACGGTGCTTGGCCCGTGAGATAGACTCGAGATCCACCACCGGAGATGCATGAGACGACGTCGGGATCGCGCCGTAGTTCGTCATGTTAGCTAGCGCGTGTGAGATTGAATAGGGGAAGTGAATGAAAAATAAATGAAAGGAACTGTTATATGTATGTATATGTGAATTATGAAAGGTCCCCAGGTATTAGGTGATACACATTTGCATATATTGCGTTTTCTAAACTAATCTATATGTTTATGGTATAAAACAAGATTAATTAGATCGTGATTATACAACAATATAGTGTAGCGTGAGGATTCGATCCACTCTCTTTGGTCAATGTCTGAAAATTATAAATTTTAGATATTCGAGATATGGGAAATGGCAACTTACATAGTAGTAGTAGTTAGTAAATGGATTACATGTTGGACTTAAGTTAATTCGAAGGATTTAGAAGATGATAAACCAAACAATGATAGGATGTCACAGCGAGCGACATGGCATTATTGAATAGTCATACAGGCTACACGTGACCCCATTCTAGCGGAGTCTCTCTGGCATGCAACTACTCTTTCGCCACGTGTCATGTCGGCAGGAACAATGAGTAATTATTTACAGTTATAATCCTTCGCATTTTGCCATGATACTAATTCATTCCCGAACGTTTGCTTTCTTTACATTTGTCACCAAATTACTTAGCCGGACGTTCCAGATCCTCGTATGCTCTGACTTGTAAGACCATCGTACCTCAAGATCTGGAGACCATTGACTATCGAGTTGTACAATACCTTTGTTTTACTAACGGCGGCAATTATATGGTAAGAAATATCTAATCTCCCTATCGACCGTCCTAATCACGTCGCCGTTCTTGTTAAATAATAAAGGCTCAAGGCTTTTTCCATTATCCTTAAGTTTGGGCCTTTAACAGGCTTAACTACGGATCTACATCACTTTTGACAACATGCTTTAACTTGGTCGTTGCCGTGGTATGGTATCATCATGATGACATCCGGAGTTTCATTATCCAAATCAGTTCTAAAAGGTAATTGTGATTCTGAGGTGAAAAGTTAACTCGTAGTCACAATTGTAAGACAGTATGATAAATGAAATGGGTTGTTAGTGTAATAGTATGATAATCTATCTGGTTGTTTGTTAGTGATGTTCAGTCGAAAGAAAACAATACTCACCCTTCTTGTCTTGTCCACTTGTTTAAATTAATTGCAGTGGGTAGATCATATATCATCTCATTGGAGGAGAAAAACAAATATCACTTGTCCTTTAACTTTCTTTATCTCAGAATTATTAAAGGCCAAAGGTTATTGTCCTTTAACTTTCTTTATCTCAGAATCCCATCATAATTTATCTATTCAGAGACACTATTTAGGAAAACACAACTCAGTTAAAAGATTACAAAACTGACTAAGAGATAACAACTGTAAAACTGGGACTGAAACTATAGATTTAGAATATCATATATCTTTTATCGGACTGTTCTTGTGGAAAAGTTGTAAACGATTTGAATAAGATTTATAACTTTCTCTGTAATGATTTGCTAAAGCTAAAATGAATATAAGTACGAATAATTAGGATTCTATATTATGCATTTATATGTATATAGTGACATGAAATATCATACAGTCATACACACCTTTGTACTAAGGAAGAAAACTAGAAACTTATACGGTCAACAAAAAGGTTTTGTGATTCTGTCCTTATCCACCTTAGCTTGTAAAGGACAACGACAATTTAGTTGAAACGTGTGCTATCGACAATGCTGTCTTCTTTTTGTCTTTTCTGTCTCACTATCTTTTCTCAGTTCCACTTACAAAACCACTCGTGTGACTCTTCTTTTTTTTTTTATAATCTTTTTAGATTTTGATAATGCGAAATTTGATTCTTCATCTTGCATTTTCAGAAAACATAACTCATCTTCTTTTGATCCATATGGGTAATTTGTTCTTCATATGCACCGTAGGAAAATTTATGATTGTATCTTCTCCTGCTATCCATCTGCATATCATAATCACCAAACAACTTTCAAATAAGTCACTACACATAATATCGATCGGCAATATTATTTTTAAGTAATTATTCCCCCAAAAGGATAGCTTATTGTTTTTTTCATGTAAAGACTTTTTTAGTCCAACTTGTCAAAAAAGAGATGAGACTTATTTGGCCATAACGTGTTATTTTTTCTAAAGCTTATATAGAGCACTTACCCTCACCCTTTTTATGTCTTCAATTTTTAAAATAACGACAAGTATATATAATTTTGTGTCCATATACTTGATTGGTTTACCTGAAGCGAGTGACTAGATGGTGAAGAAAAACTGAAGCTTCAAGACGGGCCAAATCAAGACCAGGGCACAATCTCTGACCACCTCCAAAAGGACTGAAACTACTCGTGTTCATGTCCCTTTCCTGTTGTGTACAGACAAAATGTATATCTAGTCAAATATATAATTCGTATGAAGTATAATATTGTATATCAATTATATTTGGTGATCTTTACTTACTTGCCATCTCCAGGGATTAAATTTGTAGGGAGAGTCATAGTAAAGCTTATCAAGATGGACTGATCTAAGATAGGCCAAGAAGCACCATCCTTTTGGTATCACATATCCTTTTACTTCAACATCTCTCATCGCCTTTCGCATCACTCCTATTATAACATTTCCCATCCTCAGTGTCTCTGTAATGACCTGTCGATCATTGGTTATTAAAAATGTTAATTAATCAATCACCTTTTCACAAGAGACTATTCAATATATATTTAACTAAAGAAGAAGAATATATATACCTTTTGTGTAAATGGTAACGACAAATAGTCATTCCAATATAGTGGCTCTCCTGTCAATTCCTTCATACTTTTCAGCTTCATGTTTTCTTCCTGATTGGAAAAAAAAAAATATAAAGAAAATGAAAAAAATATGTGATAACCTTTTTCTGTGGCAATCATATCAGCTGATTTATTGGAATGACTGGTTTGTTTTTCTTCTGTAAAAACGATATTTAGCTACCAATCGACCACTAAACTATATTATCACTAGATTATGGTTTAAGTTAGTTACCGTTAGAAAATTGAGGGCAGCAGGAGAATCAGAGAGGAATTTGACGGCAAGTGTGATGAGGACAGGGACAGAATCGTGGCCAGGGATCATCATGTCAATCATATTGTTAGCAATCAAATTGTGAGTTAAATATTCACTCGAGTCCTTAAGTAACACATCCACAACATCCTTTGCTATGTCACAATCTTCGTCTTTGTTCTTTTCTCTCCTAGTTTTGCCTTCTATGATCTTTTCAACTTGCTTCACCATCTTCTTCTTAGCTTGGAGAGATCTATGAAGCTGGGTTCCAGGGAAGTTAACTGGTAATGACATGAGTCCTGATATGAATTGTTCAAACTCTTTCTTTAACTCTTCTAACTCGTCTCCTTTCTCTACACTTATCAACGCCTTGGCAAGTACTTTGAATGCCACCTACCAATTAAAATAAAATAAATTATTACACGTAAAACACACAACTAAAAGGGTAATAATTAGTTGTTAAACAAGTTAGAAAGAGAAACTTGTAATCATCATTCATCCTATCAAATGTAATAATTGTAACCATGTTCTTTAAATTAAATTATATTCCATGGTAACATTAATATGATTGTCCTTTTTAAATTCATTTCTTAATCATTTCATTCATATATAGTTAGTGGAATATTTAAAAGTTATGGAAGAAAATATTAAAATTAATTGAAGGGATAAGTATACTGACAGTCTTGGAGACGTCTTGGATGAGAACAGCTTGGTCTTCGGACCACATATCCATGGATTCCGACAAATACTTGTGCATGTCTCCAACGATTTGAGCTTTCAGAAGCGGTGACTTTAAGAAAGAACCGACTAGACCATGGAACCGTCTTTGTAAACTCCCGTTGATAAGAAGTATCGACGATTTTCCCATTAGCTCCCTCACCGTCTTCGGGTAGAACGGCACGAAAGCCGTCGAGTCGCTCTGTAAAACGGCTCTGTTCACTTCAGCATCCGTCGAGACGATCGTCGCCGTTCCAAATATATGCGACTTAAACACTCTCCCATACCTTTAACGTACACATAAACACACGTGTATTTTTATATTAAAGAACGTTCAAATTGCAAACATAACCGACTCTCTTTTACTTATTAAAGTAAAAGTTGAAGTGTATAGAGTAAAAGTTCTTACAGGAGTCGACGCTTGTCCATGAAACTTTCGGGACGGTTTGAATAAGCAGAAGAGATGAACTCGATGGTTTCTCCGAGGACAGGCCATCCCAAGCTTCCCTGTGGAAACTTTGGTCCTTGACTGTGAGAAATAACATGATGATGATCAATAAGTTTATCCTTTGAAGCTGGGGATCTGAGACGGTTGATCTTGTTCAAGATTATGATGATAAAGAAAGAGAAGGAGAAGAGCAAAAGTGATAAAGAAGTGTCCATTAGTGTTTTAACTCAATTAGCCGGACGCACGAATGGGTTTGAGTTTTTAAATTTTGGGACTTTCTTTCACTTTGAATCTGTCTTGGTATATCTCTTTATATAACTTTAATCATGCTGCGGTGTGGCAACAAATCATGTGGACGATAATTCTCTTATTATATCTTTGATTTTTTTAATAAAATGATTTTTATTTATATTATTAGGATTTGAGATGTACTACCAGAAAACAAATAAAAAGACACACAATCTAATTTTTGTTACCTCAACATGGGATATGCGTGCACTTAGGTTACTATGCATAATGCATTTCACCATAATTGAAAATTTGGTAGCATGTCAAGCCTGTTAGTTACCAAACATGCGTCCAATATATCTCCAATAAATATAGAAGTAATTAAACATAATACGTCATTACCCAATTTACACTCTCAATATATATATTTCTACTTATAGCACAAAGGAGAGAAGAAATATACACACGTTGTTTTGGTCAAGCGGCCGGCCACTTGAATATTGGATTGTTTGAGCCAAACATATATCAATTACTGTGTTCAAAAAGTATAATTAATTGAAGAAGTAAGGTTGTGTATAAGGAAAATTCCCGTATAGAGAAATAGAGGAAGAATATTTCGAACGAAAAGTGTGCTAATCGTCTTTTGGCTTGTGGGGTATTTTGGGTGCGCCTTCGTGCGAAATTCCATTAGGCCACCTTTCTTATTTTACATGTATATTTTATCATGATCATATTGGATACATCATACATGCAGGCCCATATACATCATGAATATATAAAGATATGGATGCGAAGACATGTGTACATATATATATATGTACTTAGTACGTCATCTATACATGTATATGTTAATATGTATATATATGTACACGTGGATATATATAGCTAGCTAGGTTTGTGAAAGTCAGTTGATTAACTGTAGTATTGTACGTGTGAAATCAACGACCTTTTAAAAAATACGTTATAATCAAGAGTCGAGTATTGGACAGGCTTTTACATGTTTATGTTAATCCATTCAGTAGTAAGTACATTACACAATGAAACGAATTATAGCTCTACAATATGATATATTTGTTTAAGGCCAATTCCATCTCCTCATGATTAGACGCATGCGCATCTTCTCACTTTCATATAAGAAGCATACATGTAAACTATAACCAATATAAATATATACCCTATAAAATAAGTTGTGTGTGTAGGACTACATACATATGAGTACTGGTATAATATATTAGAATCAAAGGGAGTGAGATTCTATAGCCGCTTGAATACTTTGGTGATCGTTGAGTATACCATACTTTCGAGCCTATAAAGCTAATCTTTTCATTGTAATTATATATCTAACCTTTTGACTAATACCAAACAAGAAAATTTGAATTTGCCCTTCTCTTTTTATATATTTACTTTACAATAGTGTTATCAAAAATATTAGTTCTTTTGGGAAACCTATGATTCTTTTATCATATCTATAAACGCCATTTATAAGCTTTTCATTCAAGCAAAAATACCTAACAAGGTAGCAATCTTAATACCACCATATTATCATGATCGTCACTTTAATTGTAGAGATACTATAAAAATTAGTTCTTTTGATCATATCTAAGTATTGCATGATTCCTTTAGTTTTAAGGTCGTGCATCTTTCGAAATCCGAGAGGGTTTTTGAATAAAATATCATTTATTATTATTCTTTTTTAACTTTTTGGAAGAAAATCGAAAATTGTAGATCTATAATTGCTTGCCTGAAAAAAAAGTCTCAAAGATGGACATATATATGTATGTTATTTACTATTTAGTATAACTTTGGGAGAGGTGTGGGGTTGTTTTCATTTGGACCATATATGGTCCATATCTCCATGTGAAGAACCACTTGAAGTTAAAAACGGGAGAATATTTTTGTCCCCAATTGATTTCACAATCTCTAGGGTTTTTGGATAGTCGAGAACATGATCCTTTGGCCTCTTTATGAAATTGATGCAATACCACCAGCCAACATTTTGCTCCTTCGATGAAATTTATTCATGTATCCGTTTTTTTGTATTTTTTTGTTTAACATATAGATTTAAGATAACAATACATATGTTGTTAATTATGAAATGTTAAAATTAAACAAAAACTAAAGAGACCAGTTCTTTCAGAGTACCGAGTCTTTTAATGACAACATGACCATTGACTGTGCAGTGTGCCCAACATAAGCAAGTGTATTCTATCAAACTGAAAATCAAATCAGTCAAAAGCAGCTATACAAAAATCTTCATAGTGGTCTTAATTTTTTGCTTTCTTTACTCCTTGTGTTTGCATTTGTTTTTAGTCTATAATTAACATCCTTTCAATTTAGTTCTCCTTGCTGCTCTGCTCCTATAGTAATACTGGTCTGATCTTCCCCAAACCGGCAATGCAGCTACCACAAGACAAGAAAATAAAAGCAAAAAGTAGACTGTTAAGTCACAAGGGCATGTCATGAAGGTGGGTCTCTCTCCGGTAACAAACATTAATGTCGTTTCAACTTTAACCTAGTGAAAAAGATCAGGTAGAACCTGCAGGGGTCCTCACGTAGGTGTCGACAGGTGATATTAAATTATTAACAAACACAGTATAGAAGAGGTTCATGGACCACCAAATACAAGTCTTAGGTCTCTCATAAACTCACATGGAGCATTTCTTTCATTTACTTAGAAGAAAGGATATGTATGTTAGTCGAAAAGACAAGAGATGGGGGAAAAAGAAGCCAAAATGCTAGTCCATGTAAGCAATGAGACCCCTACTCACTTAGGACTTAGGAGTGAGCAAGAGGTAGTTTTATGTGAAATTGAGAAAGACAAACATAAATGACAATACCAAAAAGAGGAAAGCTAACAAAATCAAAATCTTTCTAAATCGAAACAATTTATGAACCCTGAAAAAGCATATCGGATTCCCTTCTTACCGCCCTCTACAACCGGTATAGTCACCCGACCATAATCTAGAAAATCATCTAAGAGATTTTCATGTCCAAGTAACATCATGGAGAATCTACTTTACAATATCATTTTCCTTTAGCCTTACACTAACCACCAAAGAGTCAAGTAGACTGTAGTTAGCTATATAACCAATGGCTAGCTCAAGAAAATGAACAATCAAACGTCTTCTATATATTCAAATGAATCGTTTTCAGAGAAGATAACCCAAAATTGATCTTGCATTTATATGAGTTTATTCCGTACAAGTGATAAAAATGAACTTGATTGTTGCAAAAGTAAACACAATCCTATATATATATATATATATATTTGCAACCGCATAATACTCTCTTTTATACAAATAAAACACTGAGAAAACTATTCAACATAATCATCAAAGATAGACGCTACTCAATTTAAAAGGCCAAAACCTATCAGTAAAAGCCCAAATATGGCCCATTAATCGCGGACCGTTTGACATTCAGGGTTTAACGAAAATGGGGAGAAGAGGGAGGCCTCTTAAATCTCAATGCTAACAGACGAATAATAATATGCCACGTCATAAATGAACCGTCACCGCCCTTATCGTTGCCGCGGTCAAAACATATAGACAGACCTTTCGTACCCAAAGAGCTTCACAAAAATGGTGATTTTATCGGCGAGCACCACCGTGAGAGCTGCCTTGGATACACAACCTAGGCTCCCATACAACCCTAATGCGCCGCGAAAAGTGAAGAAGAACCCTAACAGTAATTCTTTCTTACCGCCGGCGTTACCTGCACCGTCTCCGGCAACCAGCATCTCCGTCGCCGATTTGCTCAAGCGTCCCCCTAGTAAAGGTAGACACTTTAACTCGGAACTGAATCAATTGCGATGTTTGGCTCATTAATCTCTGTAGTATAAGTTTGATAAAACCAAACTTTCTAATCAAAAGCTCTATTAGTAATGGATTGTACAAGGCTTGTCAAAATTTCCAATTCCTGGCTGTATTAGTTTTAGTGATGGTTTGCTAAATATTGTTTCTTTATGTAGAGTTACCTGTTGATGTTGATGATACTTATATGGGGTATGAGACATGGTCTCCAAGTCCACCAAAGTTGGAGAAACCAAGATCCGTCTTCAATGCTGCTTCATTAGCGTTTGTAGGCGATTCCATTTATGAGGTTTGTTGTTTTTCATTACACTGTGAGCTTGTGTTTCGTGCTTTTTAGGGAAGGTTTGCTCTTAATCTTGGATCAGTTGTGATAGATTTCCCTTGATTGAAATTAGCAAGTTTAATTCCAGAATGAAAATCTTGTAAGCTCTGCTGGGAACACTAGTTTTGTTTGCTTGAAAAATGTCAAATGCAGATCATGTTATTGTTAAATACTTCTTCTCCAAATCTTACTATCTCAAAACTTCATTCATTAGTTTCTTTTATTTTTGCAGCTATATGCTCGGAGGCATTTTCTGTTCCCTTCCCTAAGTATCGAAGATTATAACGATCGTGTTAGAGCAGTGGTGCGCTGTGAAGCACAGGTTCATTTTCTTTTAACCTCCTTTCTATCAAATCAGTAATGACTGTAATGTATATGTACTGGAATTTTATCTCCAGTCTTGAAGAAGCAGTGTGTTAGTGCTTGTTCTGGTTCATGATTTTATTGACTAGCTTTATATCTTTTGTCTCGTTACACTGTTAGTATCAGAATTCATTACTTCTGTATGATGGTATCGGCAATTTAGCATAACCATCTTAGTTTTTATCTGCTCGTCGTCTTACAAATTCCAAACATATACGTGTTGTCATCTTTTTCGTGCTTAAAACAATATAATGTTAACTGCTAACTTTTCTCATATTGTTCAGTATGCATTGCTGAAGAAGCTTGTTGATGATGATTTCCTAACAAAGGAAGAGAGGTCAGTACACAAAACCCCACTATTATAGCGTCTATCCTTTCTCTGCTGCCACTACAATAAGATCCCGAGATTGAACTGAGTTGCATGACTTCACTTCTCATTGGATTTAAAGGATTTATATTTGCTCCAGGGATGTGCTCAGATGGGGAAAGAATGTAGGTTCTTCTAGAACACGCACAAGAAGGCGTGCAGGTAATGCGGTGTATAACAAGGCATCATCACTGGAGACACTTGTAAGTAACCCCAATATCTAAACTTACACTACGTTCTTCTTTCTGCTTCTAACTCTGGTTGAAGGTAAATAAATCTCCTTGTTGTCCACATGATCTGCCTCATACTAAACCCGCTTTATCTGTTCAATTTACAGATTGGCTATCTATATCTGACAAATGGGAAAAGATTAGATAAAATCATGCAGAAGCTAGGATTCTCAAGCGATTCATCAACTGAGATCATAATTGAAGAGGCGAAGCCTAAACCAACAGAATCAATCTTGCCAAACTTTATACTCAGTGAGTTAAAATCTACCTCCTCCATAAACTTCATCACTTGTTGGTTTTCTCACAGGAAGCAATACTAGTCATAACAATCTCATCCTTCTTGGTTAATTTGTAGACGAGCAAGTGGTGTCACAGTAGTTGTAGCAAAGGTCGTAACTCTCTCAGATCATGGAAAAGCTGAAGAATCAAAGTTTCCTTTAGTAGGCCGGTTTAGCTATTACAGTGCTCGCTCCAAAGAGGACAGTGTTTTGTATATGTAGTAGTACATACGTATGTATGAAGATGTAACTTCTACTAGTTGGGAATCAAAATGCCCGCCCATTTTTGTCTTCTGTCCCAACTATGACAGTGTACTAAAACCATATATATGATATTTAAACAACAAAACAAAAAATTAGCGACTAGCATTTGAGTATATGATTAGTAAGAAAACTTGTAATCATATAGCTTACATGTAAAATTCAGAATCATAACTCATAAGCAAGTTGGAGCCACTACAACTCGACTACTCGAGTATTACATTATTGCAGAGTAATAAACTAATTGTAAACATGACGTTCGTGATTTGATCTAATCCAGCTCGGCAACATCCTTATCCAAAGAATAAAAAACAACTCTATAAAATTTTAAATAGAGTATACTAGATTCGTTTGTTCATTAGTGACATTTCTTTACAAGTAGGCCCATTTGGGACATTCGGGCCCAGAATCGTCCACCGAAAAATTGTTACTATTGCAATAGATTACAATGGACCGACCACCATATCAATCAATGTGAGTCATCCTCTAATAATTTTTATTTCATAAAATATCACACAATATTTTCCACCTTTCCTTCTACTATGAAAGGTCGGTTTTTGTTTAATAATACCAAAATTAGACACCACGATCAAAATATTTTGAAATTGTAGACCAGTTCATATTTTGTGTTTTTGGGTAAGATTATTTAAGCAAAGACATCTGTCAAAAAAACCATCAAACACAAACAAATATCATTCTGAAAGCTGTAGATTAGAATACTCTATTTCATATATTGTGTTTTTGGGTAAGATTGCTAAAGCAAAGACATTTGTCAAAAAAAAAAAAAATACCTTCAAACACAAACAAAATATCATTTTCGAAGAATTATGGCAAAATAATTGAGTATTTCTTTCATTTTTTGTGATCGAATGTCTTAGAAGGCCTAAGCCGCTAGCTAAAAGATAAAAGAACGATACTGATGTGAATGGTTTTAAATCGAATATGTGGCGGTCTCATCGATAATTCATATCTTGAAAAAAAAAATTCCAAAGATATAGTTTTGTAGCTCTTTTACTCTTTTAGCCACCCATTTGTATTGTAACGTCAATACGGTTTTGTCCTATAAACAAACATATGCACATTATCCAGTAGACGATCATATGGGTCCGTTGACAAGGTTGACGTGTCATCAATATCGTGCCACACTTATTGCGGACTGACTCTAGCACTTCTCGCTTACATGTCATCCTAATCCCTCGTTCGTTCATCTCCATTGCGATACGATATCATTCATATAAGCCTAAATTCAATTCGGATGAGACTAAATTAAAGAATTGTTTCTGCCACGTATATAAAAGTATGCTCGTTCTTTCTTTGTATCCTTGTGTTTTTTTTTTTCGGATAAATATTTTGTATCCTTAATTTTCTTGTGATGGACAAAAAAAACTAGTTATATATATTAGAAAATGAGGATGTCATCAAAATATGATATGTCGAGAAAGTGAAGAAGAAACGAGACCTTCCATATATAAAGATAAGATAAGGCAATCGCTGAAAAGGAAAGCTAGAGCTAGCCAAAACGATATTGTAGAGATATTAATTAAGCCGTCGAAATATATGTAATGTACCCCATCAAAAATACTTAGGACCCTCTCCGTTCTTATATATGGATAAGTTTTATTTAATAATGTATGTGTTAATTTATTGTTGAGATATCTTTTTTAGATTCTTTTCTATTGTGAAAAGGTATCTTGATGTGACGCTTAAATTTCGATTATATTTGAAATGATCATATGGATAATCGAAAGTAAGTACTGCAAATTTGAGTGGTAGTACTGTGCAATAGCGGAAAAGGTTAATTTACGTTTTCGTATATGTATCACAAAATGTTAAGAGTTCGATACTTTTTTTCCAGTCTCATCTAGTGTACTGAATATGCTTCAACATGCATGCATGCCCTGTCCCTCGAGCAAAAATTTATACTTAAATATGTCATCATCCATGAAAATAATAATATCTTTGCAAGTGGCATCCTATGATCAGTTTCATAATGCAGACAGAACACACTTGTGTGATTCAACTGGACTAACATATGAAGATAATACTTTATTAGATTTGTTTAGACTGGAATTCCATTGTTATTGACTCATTAGTGGCAAATAATTTCATTCACGTTCTAATGATCATGACCACACGTGGTTTCTATATAGATGATACGTTGACTTGTGGAATGTAAAAACTAAAAAGAAATGGAAGATACTACCCAAGCTAAGTCATGGATCCTTATTAGTGACGTTATGAAATTAATTAGTCTTATTTTAGTTTACGTACGTACGTACTCAAGTATATATCTTCTGTTGTTGTGTGTTAAGGATTGAAATTCTATTTGGATCGGACAAAAGGTAATAGGTCCATGATTTTTCTAATGAAGCTAGCTAGGTATATCATCATGAATGATTTAAAACCAGCATTTGCGTCTTCTAACTAATTTATGTTCGGATCATATCAGTCCACGGATCAGACGTGCTGTGTTGAAATTAGGATGAGCTGGCCCAAAAAGAAAAGCAGGTTTGCAGGTGTGTAATAAATTCTTTAAAACGTTGTGAAATTAGTATAATCAACTCGCGGAATTAACATAAAAAGACTAGGAATACTACGGCAAATTTGTATGGTTGACTTTAGAAATAAAGATTGATTGAGAGCACTCAGCAGCTCTGGATCTAAATCTACTACTAACAGAGAAGTACAGAAACATGGACCTTCGCGTTAGCTTCTATCTATCTTACTGGAGCTAATATTACTTTAGCCATAATTTAATCTGATGATTAGCAGACAAAATTCAATTTTCTCTCTTAACTAAAAACAAAAAAGTTATTAGGGACGTGATCATATGATAATATAGACTAAAATACATCATGAGCCCGTACAAGATATTTTCTTAAACGGCCGTAAGATCCGGAACAAAGAATGAGAAGTCAAACTGTGTCTGAAGATAGCAGTAAACTAAACTTTTATGTTTTGGTAACGCGCCGCGCGTGCATGATAATTACGTGAGTGGGAAAGGAATAAACAACAAAAAGGGAGAAGAAGAAGAGAAAAGCACAAACTCGGAACGCGTAAACTGTTGTTGTTGTTGCTGTCGTCGCAGTTAACGGGTTTGGTTTTGTGATTCATAACTCTACATTTTCTCTAATATTTTTTTTGTTTTGTTACTCGTTTCATTTTCACTTTTAATTTCTCTCACGCAGTTCAAAGCATATTATAAGTAACCAAGAAAAACATAATTAAATTTAAACATGAAGAAAAAGGAAAAGAAGTATACCAGCTGTGTCATAAGATCTAAGAGCATTATACGGATCTAAATTACCATGCAGATCGATGCAGGTATCTATATATAGATTGAATCTATAACTTTAAAAATTAAGTACCTGACCGAATCTTTAAATTTCAATAAGAGCTATGTCTTTCATCTAGTTGGTGGTGGTAGATGGTAGATGGTAGATGGTCGATGTGAATATAGAATTTTTTAAAACATTAGGGTTCTTTCTTGATGTGGCTATTATTGGCTATATATCTCTTTGACATATATATGATACGTGCACGGTGCATCTTTTATTTTGCTTGACTACTACGTACTTGTGCATAACTCGAATATTTGTTTCTTCATTAACCTGACGACGACAAAGCATGGTTTCTTATTTGATGTAATCGATTGCGTTTTAACTTTAATGATGCTTTCCAAACACGATATAGCCCTTTTTCGACACCTTATCTCTTCGATTAGAACAATTATTGTGTATGTTTGCGTGTTTTGATGAGTGGTATATATTAGGCATTATACTACTAGTACTTAATTGATTATTATCAACTAATATAAATTTATAGTTCCACTTCCCCCTTTCATAAATCATAAATTCATAAATATGATGAATACGACATATCAACGAAATTTATGAAATTATGTAGACACAACCAGCTATACATATAGTTAGACAGAGTTAGTAACGTCGAATCTCTCGATAACTCCGAGATGGTCACACAGCTACTGATAATTAATAGTACTTGAACAAACCATAATCATAAAATCGTCTTAATCATGGAAATTGCCATGGGTAATAATTAAACTGTTCAAAGTTCTATCACGATATATACTTGAATAAAAAATTCCATCAACACAAAAGACGAAGTTTATGGGATATAAAGTCTTAAATGCGTTAGAGTTGTAGGTAGAGAGAAATCGAAGACAATTTAATTTTTCAAAAGTTTGCCTGTGTTCAGTGGTTGAGACAACGATTGCTTTTATCTATAACTAACACAGCTGTTTCATATCTTACACTTTGCAAAATCCTTTCGTCAACAAAAAAAAAAGGAAAAAAAAACAACATTTTGCTAAACCCATAAAATCTCAGTTAATACTTAACAAAGGCAACAATTGTAAAGGTTAATTCTGATCTCAAGCCGACAAAGAAAGAGTTAAACAATCTTTTACATTTGTAGTAAAGAAAAAAAAAACACTGCAATTTTTTGTCTTGTAAAGAATGGTCATTAGAATTTGTGGTGGCTAAACTTAACCCGTGACACTTTGTACGTATTTGGGCCATTCTTACTACTAGTACAACGTGCTGAGGAGAAGCGCGTGAAAATAATACACGTAGCATTAAACAAAGAGACAATATTTGGGATTATGGAGATTTTAGCCAAACCCAAAAAGTAAAAAAAAATCTGATCGTTAGAACTAAATCATTAATACTAGTCGATTTCCATGTTTATTTGCCATAATCTTGAAAACTCAAAACCATATCCCTCGATTAGAAAACCTGAAAGAAGAATACCAATTTGCCATTAGTATTTGTTTCAAGTGTTTTTAACAACAAAAACTCCAACTTAAAATGAACTAAAACCCGTTTATATTAATCACTGCTTTGTATTTTGTTAGAATTTGGAAACCTAGTAGTAGTCTAGAAAGATAGCTAAATTTCATTACAGGGTAAACTTCTTTATTTTTTCGTTTCTTTCTTTCTCCTACTATGCTCTTGTCTAAATTGCTTATAATAGAAGTACATTACTATAAAACTCTTATGGGACATTCAAATCACAAATTACCTTTTTCTACATAATACAAATCATACTTTATATTATATGAACAAATGAGAAGAAAAAAAAAG